TCTGAACGTTGCCCACTATGCTTCTACCTGCAACATTCCCGGTATGTTCTCACGCTGCAACGTTCGCCACTATGCTTCTCACCTGAAACGGTTCCCGCTATTTTCTCAACCTGAAACGCCCCACTATGTTCTCATCCTGGAACGTCCCCGCTATGTCTCACCTGCAACGTTCTCCCCACTATGTTTCTCCACCTGAACTCCCCGCTATGTTCTCACCCGAAAACGTTCTCCGCTATGTTCTTCACCCCGAACCGCCTCCCCACTATGCTTCTCACCTGAACGTTCCCCGCTATGCTTCTCACACGAACGCTTCTCCCCTATTTCCACCTGAACGTTCCACTATGTTCTCACCTGAACGCTCCGCGCCTATTCTTCACGCCGCAACGTTCTCCCGCCCTAGGTCTCACCTGAACGTTTCCCGCTATGTTCTCACCGAACGTTCTCCCGGCTATGGTCTCACTCTAACGTTCCCACTATGTTCTCACCTGAACGTTCCTCACTCATGCTTCTCACCTGAACTTCCCGCTACTGCTTCTCACCCGCAACGTTCTCCGCTATGTTCTCACCGAACTTCCCCACTAGGTCTCACCTGAAACATCCCCGCTATTCTACCTGAAACGTTCCCGCTATGGTTCTTCACCTGAAACGTCCCACGAGTTCTCACCTCCAACATTCCCGCTAGCTCTTACCTGAACGTTCCCACTATGTTCTCACGCTGAACGTCCCGCTATGGTCTCACCTGAACTTCCCGCCATTCTCACGCTGAACTTCCGCTATGTTCTCACTCTGAACTATCTCCCCCTATGCTTCGTCACGCCGAACGCCCCACTATGGCTCACCGGAAGCGCTGCCCCACTAATGTTCCTCACCTAAAACGTCCCCGCATCTTCTCACCCGGAACGTTTTCTCACCGCTTATGCTTCTCACGCTGAACTTCCCACTTTTCTCAACCTGAACGTCCCCGCCTATGATTCTCACGCAACGTCTCCCGCTAGTTCTCACCTGAACGTCCCCCGCTATGTTCTCACCCGAACTTTCCCGCTATCTCTTCACCTGAACGTTCCCACTATGTCTCACCAAACATCCCCCGCTATGTTCTCACCTGAACGTCCCCGCTATGTCTCACCGAACGTCTCCGCTCATGTTCTCACCGAACGTCCCCACTATTTCTCACCTGAAACGTCCCGCCTATGTTCTCACCCGCAACGGTTCTCCCGCTAAATCATTCTCAACCTGAACGCTGCCCCGCTATCTTCCTCACCTGAACGTCCCCGCTATGTTCTCACCCGAACGCTTCCCCGCTATGTTCTCACCTGAACGTTCCCCGCCCTATCGTTCTTCACCCTAACGTTACTCCCGCCTAATGTTCTCACCTGAACGTTTCCCACTTAGTGCTTCTCACTCTCAACATGCCCCGCTAGTTCTTACCTTAACGTACCCCGCTATGTTCTCACCTGAACGTTCCCGCTATGTTCTCACGCTGAAGTTTTCCCCACTAGGTTCCTTCACCTGAACGTTTCCCGCTATGTCTCACTCTGAACGCTCCCGACGATGTTCTCACCGAACATCCCCCGCCGCTATGTGCTTAACCTAACGTCCCCCGCTGATGTGTTCTCACCCGAACGTTCCCACTATGTTCTCACCTGAACGTTCTCCCTCTATGTTCTCACCTGAACGTTCCCGGTATGTTCTCGCAGATGCCCGCTCCGCAAACGCCGCGAGCGATGCTGCATTCATCTATGTCCGTACAGTTCAGCGCGGCCTCGTCGAGCGCGTAACCCTGGTTACACGTGCACACGAAGCTGCCCTGGTTGTTGCTACAGCGACCGTTGTGGCACAGCTCGGCGAAGCGCGCGCACTCGTTGATATCAGGGTAGAAAACTCCGCGGACATCCGGCGCGAATCCGGTGCCGCGCGAACAAAGCTCCGCGTAATCGGGACTCCCCCGCGGCGGACACGTCACGCAGTCCTCGCTCCAGGCTGATCCAATCGAGCAGCAGCACTCGGGCATGCGGACGGGCTCCCGCAGCGGATGCGTGCAGCGGCCATATTGGTATCGGAGATAGCAGACGGACTCGCGCTGGTTGACGCAGCGCGTTCCCGACGCGTCCTTCGTCAGCCCCGGCGGACACTGACACTCGTACGAGCCGTCCGTGTTCACGCACGTGCCGCCGCCCTTGCATAAGTCCGGGAAGATCTCGCACTCGTTCACGTCGGTGCAGGCGACTCCGTTGAGCAACGCGAACCCCTCGGGGCATTGCGAGGACTGCGGGCACAGCTCGCACGGGCTGCCCCACGCGCGGCCCACGCTCGAGCAGCACTCGTCCTTCAGGGTGAGTCGGTTGACGTTGTTCTCGCAGCGGCCGTTGGTGACCGTCGTCCAGCAGGAGCCGCGCCGCATGTCGAGGCAGATGCGCTGCGATGAGTCGAGGGTGGTGCCAGGGAGACACTCGCAGCGGAAGCTGCCGCGGGTGTTCACACAGGTGCCGCCAACGCAGACGCCTGCAAGCATCATCATCATCAACGTGACGTCGAGCAGGGGAGGTAGCAGTAGCAGCAGCAGCAAGAACCAAAGCGGCAGCAACAGCAGCAGCAAGAACCAAAGCGGCAGCAGCAGCAACAGCAAGAAATAGTAATAGCAGCAGCAGCAGCAGCAGCGAGGCAACACAACACAACAACGAATAGTAGCAGGCAGCAGAGCAGCAGTAGAAGCAGCAGCAACCGACAGAATAGTAGCAGCAGTAAGAGCAGAGCAAGATACAGAATCGCCAGCAGCAGCAACAACAAGAAAGTAGGCTCGCAGCAGCGCAACAACAACAAGACACTAACAGAAATAGTAGCAGAAAACAGCAGCCAGAAGCACCAAAAACAAAAGACTAGCTGAGCCAGCAGCGCAGCAGAGTAGAAGCAAAGCACAACAAGAATAAGTAGCAGCCAGTAAAGAGCAAGAGCAAGAACCAGAATCCGCGGCAGCAACAACAACGACAAGAATCAGTTAGGCAGCAGCAGCAGCCAGCAGTAGAAGCAGCCAGCAACAAGATACGTCAGCCAAAGTAAGGAGCAAGAAACAGAATCAGCCAGCAGCAGCACAAGAATAGTAAGAGCAGCCAGCAGCTAGCAGCAGCAGCAGCATCAGCAACAAAAATAGTAGCAGCAGCAGCAGCCAGCAGTAGAAGCAGCAGCCAACAAGAATGTAAGCAGCAGTATAGAGCAAGCAGCAAGAACAAGAATCCGGCAGCAGCAACAACAACAATCAGCATAAGTAGCACGCAGCAGCCATGCAGCAATCACAAACAACAAGAATAGTAGCAGCAGCAGCAGCAGCAGTAGAAGCAGCAGCCAACAAGAACTAGTACGCAAGCAGTAGAGAGCAAGAACAGAATTCAGCAGCAGCAGCCACAAGATACGTAGCACGCAGGCCAGCAGCGCCAGCCGCAGCAACATAGAATGTAGCCAGGCAGCAGCAGACAGCAGTACAAGCAGCCAGCAGCAAAGCCAAGAATAGTACCAGCATAAGATTTTCGAAGCACGACAGAATCAGCAGCAGAGCACAAGCATAGTAGCAGCAGCAGCAGCACAGCAGCAACAGCAGCAACAAGCAATAGTAGCAGCAGCAGCAGCAGCCAGTAGAAGCAGCAGCAACAAGAATAGTAGCAGCAGTAGAGCAAGAACAGAATCAGCAGCAGGCAGCACAACGAATAGTAAGCACGCAAGCAGCAGCAGCAGGCAGCCAGCAGTAGCGAGCAGCAGCACAAGAATAGTAGCAGCCAGTAGAGCGAAGAACAGAATCAGCAGCAGCAGCACAAGAATACGTAGCGCCAGCCAGACACAAAGCAGCACAGCAGCAACAACAAGACGAATGTAAGCGCAGCGAGCCAGCAGCCAGTAAAAGCAAGCGAGCCTACAAAGAATAGTACAGCAGTAAGAGAGCAAGACAGATATCAGACAGCAGCAGCAACAAGAATACGTAGGGCAGGCAGCTAGCATCGCAGCAGCAACAACAGAGAATAGTAGCACAGCAGCACAGCAACAACAAGAATAGTACAGCAGCAGCAGCAGCAGCAGCAACAATGAATAGCAAGCAGCAGCAGCAGCAGCAATCAAACAACAACAAGAATAAGTAGCAGCAGGCAGCAGGCAGCAGCAAGCAACAAAGAATAGCAGGGCAGCACAGCAACAAGAATAGCAGCAGCGCAGCACAAGAATAGCAGCAGCAGTCAGCAGCAACTAACAAGAATAGTAGCAGGCAGTATAAGCGCAGCACGCAAGCACGCAGCAGCCGCAGCAGCAACAAGAATAGTAGCAGGGCAGTAAGAGCAAGAACAGAATCAGCAGCAGCAGCAACAGAATTAGTAGCAGACAGCATGCAGCAGCAGCAGCCAGCCAACAAGAATAAGTAGCAGCAGCAGCAGGCAGCAGGCAGCGAACACAACAACAGAATAGCAGCAGCGCAGCAGGCCGCAACAAGAATAGTAGCAGCCGAGCAGCGCAGAGGCAGCCAGCAGCAGCAATCAACAAGAAATGAGTAGCAGCAGCCAGCAAGCAGCAGGCAGCAGCAACAAGAATAGAGCAGCCAGCAAGCACAAAACAAGAATGCATCAGAGAGCAGCAGCAGCAGTGCAGCAGGCACACAACACAACCACACAACAAGAGTGAGCGCGCAACAATACGCCAGATATAGTAGCAGCAGTATAGAGCAGCAGCACAGCAGTCGTCGTAGTTGGACCCGTGTGCATTGCCGATTATATCTCGTCACAACCTCTCTTGTCTTCTTTTATAGTTATATTTCACATTGTACATGAATAAGTAGAATTTGTGTTCAGCATAAAGTTACACAAAGACAAACTATCTATCAAAGTTACGGTCTTTCATTGATTAATTTCGCTGCCAGGTGGCGCTAGCAAATGTATGGTAGGTGAGAGGGAGCCGAGCTGTACCTGGTTCGGCGTTCGCACTTCGTTTGATGTTCTGTCGCATTCGTCTCTGTTCAATTCGTGATCCGCTAGGACACTGTTGCATTGTAGCCTACCGGTAGTGTTCTTTACACTGTAATATCCTACACAACAAAGTCGTCACAGGTACAACAATAGGCGCCATACATACGTACGCACCAGCATATGCACGCAGTGATACCATCACGACGCTCACATATACGCATACGGGGACGTTCACTCTTCACTCAACGCGGCACTATTTTCCGACACTTATTTCCCCTCTTCGATGCTCTCTCGCCGCATGTCTCCTCTCTCTCTTCTCTCTTTCTCTATATTTCTTTCTCTCCTCTCGCTCTCTCTTTCTGCTCTCTCTCGTCTGCGTCGTCTCCCTCTCTCGTTTCTCTCTCTCTCTCTCTCTCTCATCTCTCTCTCGCTCTCCTTCAGCTCTCTTCTCTCTCTCTTTCATCTCTCTCTTTCCTTCTCTAAGCTCTCTCCTCTCTCGTCTCGGCTCTCGTCTCTCATCTCTCTCTCTCATCTCTCTCTCTTCTTCTCCTCTCCCCCTGCCTCTCTCCTCCTTCTCTGCCTTCTGCTCATGCTGCTCTCTCTCATCGTCTCTCTCTCCTCTTCTCTCTCTGACTCCTCTCTCTCTTCTCCTCCTCTCTCCTCGCTTCTCCTAGCGCTCTCTCCTCTCTCTCTCTCTCTCTCTCTCTCTCTGCTCTCTCTCTTCTCTCTCTCTCTCTCTCTCTACTTCCCTCACGCCTCTCCCTCTCGTCTTCTCTCTCTCTTCTCCTTCTCGTCTCTCTTCTCCTCTCTCTTCTCTCTACGTCTCTCTGCCTCCTCTCTCTCTCTCTCGTCTCTCTCTCTCTCTCTCTCTTTCTCGTCCATCCACCATCTCTCTCTCGCGCATCACTCATCGTATATAGCGTACCTGACCGTTGTCACACAGTAGTGGGTTCTCGCGGCAGTCGTCGACATCCACGCAGCACTTGCCCGACGTGTCGAGCTTGTAGCCCGTCGCACAGATGCAGCGATAGGAGCCCTGTATGTTCTCACAGTCGCCGTTGGGGCAGATGTTAGGGTTAACCGAGCATTCGTTGATGTCTGCAAGTAAGTTGTGGTTAGTATTAGTATTTGTTTTTAGTATTAGCACCAATTTAGTATGTAGCGAGACGAAGGTTTTCACAACTTACATTCGTAAATTGATATCGTCACCGTTCGGAGGGAATTGATTGATAAAAATATTCGATAATAAATGATTATTTTTATTCAGCAGAAGATCTCCATTTCAATCGGAGAATATTGATTGATAAAAAAGAGCTAATAAACTATTATTTAAATTCGCGTGGTGAATTCTATTTGATTGCCCATCGATTGATAAAGACATCAGTTAATAAATGATTATATTCATTCAAATTCGTCAAAGGAATTCGATTAACACCATCTGCCATTATCACTACAGATGCCTATGTCTATGCATCGGCCAACACTCCTACACACCCATCCTTCTTATACCCGGCGGGATTATCCATATAATCAAGAATCCATTGACATCCGAGTGAAAATAGAATGCTAGTGCCTGGGCTCTTGCTGGAATGTTTTGCCCAGTACTTTTTGTTACATTGTTCACGTGATATCTTCCACGGAAACATACCATTGCCGTTATGGTCCGTTCCTGGTCCATTAGGACATAGATGTTCGTAGTCGGCCGACCCGGCGTGCGGGCACTCCTGACAGGGGCTACCCCAACCGACCATACTGCTGCTGGTGACAGTCTGAGCTCTGCCGCCGCCGGTGGTAACCTCACAGGTGGAGCTACCGGGTAGACTAGTGCTGCTGGCACCACTGCAGCAGCATTCTGACTTGGTGGTGATGTGACGCGATGGGTTGCCACAGCGACCGTGCTCAATTTTCGAGTAGCAGTACCCTCGCCGCGTGTCTGCAAAGCAAGTTCGTATGAATAATTATTAAGAGTGAGATTAAAAATTTGATTTTAATTAAAAATTGAGATTAGGTTCGCATAAATTAAGGTTATAGATCTCTAACTTTATCTCTATCTCTATCTCTATCTCTATCTCTATTTCGGATTCTATCTCTACCTCTATACGTATCTCTTTCTCTATCCTCTGTCTCTAACTATATACCTCTACCTCTTCTTCCTTCCCCCTGTAAATTCTGTTCACTCTATCTGCTTTCGATCTGTTTGCTAGCTACGAATCAGGAACGCACCCATGCATGTCTTGCCATCTTTTCCTAGCACCATGCCATCCATGCACTTGCAGCGATAACTCCCTTGGTTGTTGATGCACTCTCCATTGACGCATGTACTGGAAGAACTTGCGCATTCGTTCACATCTGCAATGCCGAGCCAATAACAGCGATAAAATGCCTATTAATATATTCATGGGTGAATAATAACCAATTATTACAATTAGTGATTATTCGCCCCTGAGGTATGTATTCTACCGTAGGCGACAATGCTCAGATCGCGTGACATTGAACATAAACACAGTTCGCCGTATATTTTATGATCTCGTAAGTTTATTCTCAATGCCGGTGCCGTCTCGCTCTAGCAGCAGAACAATGCGGATGAGGACGGTACGCTGTTTCACTCAAATCTCCAAAAACGCATGACGTTCGCTAAGTCGCATCACAGTAACCACGTTTGCGCTCACCAGATGGCGTTAAGAGAGAAGCTTCAATGGATCACCAGAGAATATAAATCGCCGATATATTGGTGATTTACATGTTATCACTCACCGATGCAGACAGAACCGTCGGGTGAGAGAGCGAATCCGGTGTCACAGACACACTTGTACGAGCCATCCATGTTAACACACATGCCGTTCGTGCACATACCTGTCTTCTGACATTCGTTGTCATCTATCAAGCAAGAAAGCATAATAATATATAACATAAGCATATAATTTTACGAACCAACATTTTAAGTGATATCTATATGTCTTACCATGGGACATATATTATTGTAAATATCATGAATTTCAGTTTTATACTGCCTGATGATATCTTGTTTGCAAAATTTATTTTAATTGTAACGTCGTTAACACTAGTTTTGCAATAAACCTATTATCTATCTATCTATCTAGCAAGAAAGCAACATCACCATCAATCTATTGAAAGAGGTGTACATCTTGATAGTGAGACTCTAAAACATGTGCAAAGCTTGACCAAATATCATTCCTATATTGATATATAGATGGAGAGATAATAATTTCTGTGTTAAACATTATGCTATGGGTGACGCGTTTACATCGTGTTGCAGGGTTATGTAAAAAGTAGAGGTACACGGGACATTAAAATAGCGATCATAATTGGCATCGAACGCGCCGTCAACTTGCCTCGCAACAAGTCAAGCTTTATTCTCGTGGTGCGTGTATCTCTCTAATACTCATCTCTCACAATCGTCGAGGCGACAGAGCATTTACAGACAATAACTTGTTGTTTGGCCACAAAAGCTCTCCGCGTTTGTGCGCAACAAAACAATCAATAGATTTGTGTGCAAAAAACACAAAGCGTCTGCCGCAAAAACACACAGAGCGATTGCGTGCAAAAACGCAGAGCGTTTTCTCGCTATTGACGGACGAGAACGATATAATTACATGAGCTCCCGCGAGTGTTTGTTGAGACTTGTTTTTGCTATCGGAGGGAGAGCCCACGATATACTTACCGAGGCAGAACGCGCCGTCGGGAGACAGCTGGTAACCGGGGCTACACGAGCAGTGGTAGGAGCCCTGCGTGTTGACACAGTGGCCATTCTGACAGACGCGTCCGTTTTCCCTGCACTCGTCTATGTCTGCAAAGATGTGACGATGAGTACACATGTTATATATAGTATATATATTTGATATGTATGATGTATATATGATGATATATATATAGATATATATGATGAGTATATATCGTATATATATTTGATATGTATGATGTATATATGATGATATATATATAGATATATATATATAGATATATATGATGAGTATATATCGTATATATAAATTTTATATGTATGATGTCAGGATGATGTATAT